AAACTTAAACAACCTTTTAGGATTGCATTTGGTTGTTTATATCATTCCACATTCCCTCCTATATCTATGTGAACACACACCTATAGTCAGCGTGTATAATGGTTAAGAGTCTGAGTTTAGCATCAGGAACCCCAACGTTTAAACCCTCGCTCCTTCACTCCCAGGCTGTGTGACCCTGGGCAAGGTGCTTAGCACTTTAAGTTTTGTTTCTTGAAAAAGCCTAAAAAACGGAGATGACCATAGGAATTCTCGCGGGGTTATTTCATTCAACGAATAGTCACAGTTGCTGTTTCAAGCTCTAGGAGATAGAACAGAGAACAAGCCTGACAAAGTCTCTGCATGGGTGGGGTTTACACTAAGGTGAGGGGACAAACAATAAGCAATTAAATAAATATCAAATAACCTCATTGGGTAGGGGGAGGGGCAGATCGCACAGGGCACATATAGGAGGCTGGCTGAGGAGTGGCATTTGAGTGGAGAGCTCAGTGATGAAAAGGAGCCACCCACTAGGAGCTCAGGGAGAAAAGCTGAACCAGCAGAAGCCAAGTATAAAGTCCTGGAGGTGGGAGCAGCTCACATGCTTGTTGGGAGCCTTAAGGAATAGTTGGAAAATGCTAAACCTCAATAAATAGAGAAGAGCTGAGCTGCAGTGACTGAGTTTGGAAAACACAAGGTGTAGGAGAGGATGAGGAATCAGTAGAGGAGACCTAAGGTCAGAAGCCAGGAAGCGAACCCAGAGGATTGTGGTTCTGTGAGTCAAGTGGGGAAAGATTTTCAAGAAGGAGCGATTAGTCAAGGACAGTGAAGACTGGGAAAGGCTTTGGCCTTGATGGCTTGTGTGCAAAAGGGCAGTTTCCACTCTCAGCTCTCAATGAGCTGAAGTCAAGAAGAAGGTGATGCTCAGGAAAGGAGAGGCCTGCAGCAGTGACTCCCTCTCCTAACAATGGAGATTCGTTTTCAGAAATCCACTGAATTAATTTTGGTATCTGCCTATCTGGACTTTATCTTTTGTCTCTATTTGTATTGAATAATTTCTTTAAAAAATTATTTTTTTCAATTATAGTTGACATTCAATATTATATTAGTGTTAGGTGTACAGCATAGTAATTAGACATTTATATAACTTGCAAAGTGATCCCCCAGTAAGTCTAGTACCTACCTGGTACATTACACACTTATTACAATATTATTGACTATATTCCCTATGCTGTAATTTACAACCCCGTGACTATTTCATAACTACCAATTTGTACTTTCTGAATCCCTTCACCTTTTTCACCCAGACCCCTGACCCCCCTGCCGATCTGGCAACCATCAAAAAGTTCTCTGTATTTATGAATTTGTTTCTGTTTTGTTTGTTCATTTATTTGTTCTTTAGATTCCATGTATAAGTGAAATCAAACAGTATTTGTCTTTCTCACACAATATCCTCTAGGTCCATCCATGTTGTTGCAGATGGAAAAATTTCTTTCTTTTTTATGGCTGAGTAATATTCCATTGTGTATATGTACCACCTCTTCTTTATCCATTCATCTATCAATGGACACCCAGATACCCTCTGTATCTTGGCTATTGTAAATAATTCCACAATAAACATATGGATGCACACATCCCTTCGAAGTAGTGTTTTGGGTTCCTTTGGATAAATACCCAGAAGTGGGATTACTGGATCCTTCTTTGTTTCTTTTTATAGCCTTTGTTTTAGAGTCTATATTGTCTGGTATAAGTATTACTACCCCAGCTCTTTTTGTTTCCATGTTCATGAAATAACATTTTCCATTCCCATAGACTATCAGTCTATGCGTGTCTTTCAATCTGAAGTGAGTCACTTGTAGGCAACCTGTGTAATGGTCTTGTTTTATTATCCATTCAGCCACCTATGTCTTTAAATTGGAACATTTAGTCTTTTTACATTAAAAGTAATTGTTGGTAGATATGTTTTTGCCATTTTATTATTCATGTTTTTGATCTTTTTTTTCTTTAAGAAGTCCCTTTAATATTTCTTGTAATACTGGTTTGGTGGTGATGAACTCCCTTAGCTTTTTGTCTGGGAAGCTCTTGATCTGTCTTTCGATTCTAAATGATAGCTTTGCTGGGTAGAGTAACCTTAGTTGTATGTCCTTGCTTTTCATCACTTTGAATATTTCATGCCAATCCCTTCTGGCCTGCACAGTTTCTGTTGAGAAATTAGCTGACAGTCTTCTGGGAGCTCCCTTGTAGTTAACTAAGTGCTTTTCTCTTGCTGCTTTAAAGCAGTTTCTGTGTCTTTAACTGTTGGCATTTTAATTATGATGTGTCTTGGGCCTCTTCGGGGTCATTTTGAACTCATCTTATTTGAGATTCTCTGTGCTTCCTGGGCTTGTATGTCTATTTCCTTCACCAGGTTAGGGAAATTTTCTGTCATTATTTCTTCAAATAGATTTTCAATTCCTTGCTCTTTCTTCTCCTTCCGGTACCCCAATGATGTGAATGTTGGCATGATTGATGTTATCCCAGAGGCCCCTTAAACTATCCTCATTTTTTTTGACTCTTTTTTCTTGTTCCTGTTCTGATCGAGTGTTTTCTACTACCTTATCTTCTAAATCGCTGATTTGAACCTCTGCTTCATCTAATCTACTGTTAATTCTATCTCTTGAATTCTTTCAGTCATTGTGGTCTTCATTTATGACGTTCTTTTTTATGTCTACTATCTCCATTTTTATGTTTGCTATCTTTTTGTTGTAGCTCTCTCTGAGAACATTGAGCATCCTTATAAACCGGTGTTTTGAACTTGACATCTGGTAGATTGCTTGTCTCTATTTTGCTTAGTTCTTTTTCTGGAGCTTTGCTCTTTCACTTGGGACAATAAACATTATCTCTTAACAGAATAAAAATAATATATCACTGTTATTTTGCTCTTCTCTGACTACTAGTCAAGGTTGACTATTTTCCCACATGTCCTAAACTGTGTTAATATCATTTTCTCATTTTTTGCAAGAGCCTCTTGTTTTTGTTATCAATTTTCTTTATGTAATAAAGATCTTAAACTTGAAGACACATTTATTAAAAATGCTTTCCCCTAGTCTGTTTGCTCCCCCCTCCCTTTAAACATTCAAAAGTTTAAACTCTTTATATCAAATTTGATCATCCATCTCTTTTTGATTTCTTGGATTGCTCCTAAGCTTAGAAGGGTCTCTTGTCTCCAAAGCTTTGATGAACATATAATTCCCTCTCTCTTTTTTGTCTCTCTCAATTTTCCCTGTTTGATTTTTAAAGACTTATTTCTTTAATCTGGAATTACTTTTGCAATATGGCAGGTTTATGAGTATCTCCATAATTGTTTTAAACGCACCTTTTTATTGTAAAAAGGTAAAATTGTGTAAAAAAATCCTCTGGTGTTTATATTTTAAATGTTTCAAGAAGAAAATGGTAAAGTCTTTTTTAAATAAAAAACTGCAATACTTTTTTAATATTCAAAACTTGCAGGGCCTACTAGAGCAATATCTGGAGAGGTAATTAAGAAAGAGGCAATATTGCTAAACAGCAAAAGCGATGCTAAGCCAGTATTTAGACATCCAGAGGGTTGTATCCTAACTAAATGAAGGTGGGTGGAGAAAGGATTGAGTAGGTGGAAAGAAAAACAGCACAGTCCTGTATTTTATGGTCTGTGATAGAAAGAAAAAGTTAATCACTGACTTCAGAAGTCCTGCTAGGGAACTGGAATCCATGGGCCATCATCCCCATGGCAGGTCCTCTGAATTGGTCACTAGACCTAACTGTGGTCAAAGATAAAGAGCCTCCCTTGGGTAAAGCAGAGAGAATAACGTTTGCCCTTAAAAGCAGTCAGATCAATGTGATATTTTTTGACAGATTCACCTTTGATCTAATGCCACTAGGTATGACTGGCCCAGATGACAAATCAAGTCTTTACTGTGATGTGGTCTCCTTCCTCCCTGGTTTGATTTCAGTAGTAATACCTCTCCGAGTGGCCCTCAGTCACTAAAATATAGGACAGACTAGCCAATACCTTCTTCATTCTTTACTCCCAATATAATACGATAATGTCTTCCTCCCCTGCTTTTTTCCTCTCATCCAGCCAGTTAGGAGGTGGTAAGGAGAGAATCTGCCAACTAGGAGAGCTAGCATCTCCTTAGATAAAAGAGGGTCTGGACTTAGTCACAGAACCCTTTAAAACTAATTGTTGAATTGATGAATCACATGTTCGGAAACACATATTGCCGAGTATATGAATTTTTTCCTGTTAGCAATGGTGAGGCCAGAGAAGTGTCACTGGTGTTTGTCAAAATATTTGTTATCCCTTGACTATCATCAGGTGACCTTGTTGACAATGCAGATTACTGGGCCCATCCCAGACCTACTAAGGTAGCATCTCTGAGGGTAGGGCCTTGACAGCTACTTTTTAATAACTCAAATGATTATAATGAACACTAAAGAGAGCTACTCGGCCACATTTAATGTAAGATAAAGTTGTGAGGCCAACATAGGTTGAATGTCCTTGGAGTCTTGTATCCATTTCCCTTTTGTTAAAATTTTTTTATAATGTCCCAGTTTCATAACATAATTTTTGAAATCCAATTTAAACGGCTCTAAAGTACACCTCTAATTGCATTCTGCTTCAATTATAATGTTAATTGGTCCGTGTTTGCTAGCATGACACCTGGCACTAGAGGTAGAAAAGTGAATAGGCCCTACCGAACTCCTAATTCAAAATTTTTGCTAATTATATAAAAACCTGCTTGGTGTCTATACCTTGGGTCATGTAAGCCTCACCATATCTAGAATTGTCTTGTCTAGTCCTCCATCCATGCAAAAGAATGACTATTTCTTAGCCACATGTTGGAAATTCTAGGTCTAAGAAAAAGCTATTCTTCTGCATGGATGGGAGTATAGGCCAGATAATTCTACATGTGGTAAAGTGATTTAAATTCAAGTGAGGAAGCTACATCTGTGCCTCTCAGTCCTGGTCTTCAACTCACTGGAATCTGTCCTCTCCACTCTAGCATTGAGCCCTGTGGAAATTGCCCTCATGGTCATAATGACCTTGCTTGTCTTGGGCTCAATCGCCATCTTCCTGGAAGATGCTGTCTACCTGTACAAGAACACCAGTTGCCCCATCAAGAGGAAGACTCTGCTCTGGAGCAGCTCTGCACCCACGGTGAGGGGCCCTGTAGCTGCCCTTTGGGAGGGACTGAGAGGAGCTAGGGACCATTTTGAGAATTCCTCTAAACTCAGCAATTCAGTCAGCAAAGTGTTGCCTGCCTCTTACGGTGGGAGTTTGTAGCCTGACCTCCATTTGCATTCAGGACCCATGCTTGGAAGTCCAACAGGCAGCAGGATGGAGTGTTTGAATTCTTAGAGCCACAGAGAGAGCTGAAGAAACTGCTCAGCCCAGCAGTGGTCCACTCACCACACCCCCACCATAGTATTGCTGTTGATAGCAAGCCTCCTTTCTGTATAAGCAAGCCATGGATCCTCAGAGTGTAGAAGGGAATTTTTCCCATGGGGTCATACTCTACCCTTATACTGTAAGCTTTTAAATGATCAAAGCCACTGTATAGGCCTTTGGCTTGCTCATAGACTGTAAGATTGGACTTCTATTTCTTTACGGTGAGCTCTGAGTGTCCATTTGGGATGAAGAGTAGAGTCCTTGAGGTCCTTTTCTGTCAAATAACATCCGCTTGGGCCATCTCAAGTTATCAGAGATGCTCAAATAACATGGGATGTTGAAAAAGAAGTGTTGGATTTTGATCCATTTACTCCTAAGGATTAACTTACCTACTCCTACCCCAGGGATAGAGGATGAGATAGTCTTCAAAAGAGCCCCTGACTCAAAGTGACTTGTTGTCTCTAACCCTAGACATAGAAGGAATTGTCAGCTGAATTAGAATAAAAATTTTTAATTACTTTATTTAAGTGGTGATTTTTCTACCTGGCTACTTTTAAATAATGGTGCCTCAAACGTTTAGGTTTTGCTTCTTTGAACCCTTGTCACAAAAGTTTTGAGAGAGCACAAAACAAAGTCTCCCTCCTTGCCTTAACCAGCTTCTTGCTCCTGTGGAAGCAGGTGGTGTCTGTGTTCTGCTGCTTTGGTCTCTGGATCCCTCGTTCCCTCGTGTTCGTGGAAATGGCCATAACCTCGTGAGTGTCCTGTCCGCCCCCAGCTCTGGGCCAGGTATCCCTCTAGGATCCTTTTCTGTTCTCCAATCACGACTCCAGAGTCTGTATCTTCTTTTATCCCCTATCCCTTCCATAAATCCCTGCATAGTAATTGATCACGAATTAAGCCCTTTCCAACTTGTGCCAATCTGGGTCTCCTGAACTTCTAGATCTGTTCATCCTCAGCCACCATTTTGTTCCCACACACTGAAACTGCCTTCTTCCCAGGCACCTGCTCCCCATCCTCTCTCTCACTCTTCTTGGGTCACACATTCAGAATTCCTAGTTCCTACCATGATCTCCTCAGCACATAGCACCTCTCCCTGCTCCCTTTGCAGTCCATCTTTTTTTGGCAGTGAAGGGTGTCCCCTCAGCTTGCTGCCTTCTCCCCTCTGTGTACTCTTAGGCCCACCTCTCCCTGCACTCCAGGTTATTTTTTTTAATTCCTGCCTCCCCCACCTCCCCTTCCCGCTTCCACCCCTGACCTCCGGATGTTGCCATCTCCCCTTAAGAACTGGATCTCTGAAAGCAGGGTGTCTCCTCCCACGCGCTCGCGGAGCACACCCAGGGCCTGGCGCACCTGGTATATGGACCGTGGCTCCACTGGCGCATGAACCCTGGACCTTCTGCGTGTAAAGCAGACGTGCTAACCACTACTGTATGGAACCACCCCTCACTCCAGGTTTTACTCAGTGTGTTTTTACCTGCTGATACTAGTCATGGTGGAAGGCTTTGGTGGGAAGGAGGCAGTAGTGAGGACACTGAAGGATACCCCAATGATGACCCACACAGGCCCTTGCTGCTGCTGCTGCCCCTGCTGCCCCAAACTCATGCTGACCAGGTAAGTTGGGAGGGAGAGTTGTCCTCGAAAAATAGGTTACTCTTTCTATACTCTCCCAAGAGCATCTGTTGGCTCTCTCAGCCCTGCTTCAAGCCTCTTGGAATAAAGCTTGTATGGAACAAACCCAATGATGAAAGAGTGGACATCCCCAGCCAGGACACATTGGGTACCCACCCTGGGTTCGGGGAGCAGAGGAAGTACTCCAAAGTTCTCATCACTTAAGCCCACTGCCTCCTACAAATTTTAGCCACACAGAGCAAACTGGACTTTAGGCTATTTACTTGCGGCCTCGGCCCATTTTGGTTAATGAGGTTGTGTCAACACTGATAGTTCTTACATGAAAAGCAGCATTCTAGTCCAGGAGTTGAGTGAGAGGCAAAAGGGAACATTTCCAATGCTCTCAGCATTCTGTCTTTTTCCTATGTCCCCATCCATTTAACCATTTTCGTGTCTATGATGGCAACCAAGCTTCAACCCAGGAGAGAGCTGAGAGATCTGGGGTGGGTAGTTTATGGGCGCATGTTCCTAACCTTATTCTCCCTTCAGGAAGAAGCTTCAGCTGCTGATGTTGGGCCCATTCCAGTATGCCTTCTTCAAAATAACACTGAACTTGGTGGGCCTGTTTCTCATCCCTGATGGCATCTATGACCCAGCAGATGTAAGCCAGGCGTAAAGGGCAGCTAAGTCCAAGAGGCATTTATTACCTCTGAGTTCTAGAAGGAATAGCTAGAGCCAGCATCTCCTTATGCACGACCCCAGGGACAGGGTGGTCCTGAGGACAGGTTAAAAAAAAGGCAAGACTCTGGTGGGGAGAGAGGAGACTGAGATAGGCCACGGCTTTAGAGCTTTTTTATTACCTGTCCCACTATGGGGGAAGAAATAGAAGAAGAAAAGGGCTTGCCTCCCTCACTGACTCCTTTCTGGTCTGCCACCAGATTTCTGAAGAGAGCACAGCTCTATGGATCAATACTTTCCTTGGTGTGTCCACCCTGTTGGCTCTCTGGACCCTGGGCATCCTTTTCCGTCAAGCCAAGCTGCACCTGGGCGAGCAGAACATAGGAGCCAAATTTGCTCTGTTCCAGGTAACTATACCCTGGGAGAGAAAAGATGGTTCATAATAGAGCTATAAGTAATTGAGGTTAGGAGGCGAGACTAATAAAGGCTAAAAGTGTGTCTGGGAATCTACTTAAGCCTCAGGTTTCCTGTGAGATTTGGAAAATGATCCCGCCCCTTCCCAGTTTTTGCTTTTCTGTGCTGTGATCATTTGCTAGGGCTGTCATAACAAAATACCACCAACTGTGTGGCTTAAAACAATGGAAACTTATTGTCTCGCAGTTCTGGAGGCTAAAGTACAAAATCAAGGTGTCAGCTGGGCCACGCTCTCTCTGAAACCTGGAGGGAAGAATCCCTCCATCCTCTTCCCAGCCTCTGGTGGTGTGCCAGCAAT